CAAAGAATTAATTTCCAAAATTAACAAGCAGCTCATGCAGCTCAATAAAAAAAAAAAAACCCAATCCAAAAATGGGCAGAAGACCTAAATAGACATTTCTCCAAAGAAGATATACAGATTGCCAAAACACATGAAAGGATGCTCAACATCACTAATCAATAGAGAAATGCAAATCAAAACTACAATGAGGTATCACCTCACACCAGTCAGAATGGCCATCATCAAAAAATCTAGAAACAATAAACACTGGAAAGAGTGTGGAGAAAACGGAGCCCTCTTGCACTGTTGGTGGGTATATAAATTGATACAGCCACTTTGGAGAACAGTATGGAGGTTCCTTAAAAAACTAAAACTAGAACTACCATATGACTCATCAATCCCACTACTGGGCATATACCCTGAGAAAACCATAATTCAAAAAGAGTCATGTACCACAATGTTCACTGCAGCTCTATTTACAATAGCCAGGACATGGAAGCGACCGAAGTGTCCATCGACAGATGAATGGATAAAGAAGATGTGGCACATATATACAATGGAATATTACTCAGCCATAGAAAGAAACGAAATTGAGTTATTTGTAGTGAGGTGGATGGACCTAGAGTCTGTCATACAGAGTGAAGTAAGTCAGAAAGAGAAATACAAATACTGTATGCTAACACATATATATGGAATCTAAAAAAAAAAAAAAATGGTTCCGATGAACCTAGTGGCAGGACAGGAATAAAGACACAGACGTAGGGAATGGACTTGAGGACACAGGGAGGCGGAAGGGTAAGCTGGGACGAAGTGAGAGAGTGGCATGTACATACATACACTATCAAATGTAAAATAGATAGCTAGTGGGAATAGTGGGAAGCAGCTGCATAGCACCGGGAGATCAGCTCTGTGCTTTGCGACCATCTAGAGGGGTGGGATAAGGAGGGTGGGAGGGAGACGCAAGAGGGAGGGGATATGGGGATAACGTATGCATATAGCTGATTCACTTTGTTATACAGCAGAAACGAACACGACATTGTAAAGCAATTATACTCCAATAAACATGAAAAAAAAAGGGGGACTTGTATCAGAATATATAAAGAAGGGGCTTCCCTGGTGGTGTAGTGGTTCAGAGTCCGCCTGCCAATGCAGGGGACACGGGTTCGAGCCCTGGTCCAGGAAGATCCCACATGCCACGGAGCAACTAAGCCCGTGCGCCACAACTACTGAGCTTGTGCTTTAGAGCCAGAAGCCACAACTACTGAGGCCACATGCTGCAACTACTGAAGCCCACGCACCTAGAGTCCGTGTTCTACAAGAGAAGGCACCCCAATGAGAAGCCGGCACGCCACGATGAAGAGTAGCCCCCACTTTCCACAGCTAGAGAAAGCCCGTGTGCAGCAACAAAGACCCACCACAGCCAAAAATAAAAATAAATAAAATAAATTAATTTTTTAAAAAAAGAATATACAAAGAACTCTCAAAACTCAATAAGAAGACAAACAAGCCAATTTTTTAAAAAAACGGGCAAAAGATTTGAACAGACACTTCACCAAAAATGTTAAATGAATGGCAAACAAGCACAGGAAAAGAGAAGTTCAACATCATTAGTCACTACAAAAATCCAACAAAGCTCAGTCAGCTACCAATACATACTTATTAAAATGTCTAAAAACAAAAAAACTGATAATACCAAGTACTGGAGAGGATGTGGAGCACCTAGAACACCCATACATTGCTGATGGGAATGCAAAATGACACACCCATTTTGAAAAACACTTTCCTTATAAAGTCAAACCATACCACCCAGCCATCATACTTGTAGGTGTTTACCGAAGTGAAATGAAAACTTATCACAGAGAAACCTATATGTAAATGTTTCTAGTGACTTTATTCATAATCACCAAAAATTAGAAACAGACCTAATGTCCCTCAACTGGATGGCCAAAGCATAAGGAAAAGGGACGGAAGGAAGAGAAGATCCAAGATGCAGGAAGAGCAGCGACTGAGACAGATCTGGGGTCTAAGCAGCAGCAGTGGGAAGTTCTCTTTAGAACACATTCTCACTAACTCAGATCTAGCAATTCCCAAGCTCTTTGCTGCTTGGTTCTGAGTTTCAGATTCCTGGGAGAGACTATGATTGCACCGCTTTAAGCTGGATGTCTACCTCTGGACAAAATTGGCAGTAGGCAGTGGGCAAGTTACCTAAGTCTGAGAAAGTCGCTGGGACTTGTCCCTGTGCACTGCAGCCACTCACAGCAAAGGGGAACTGTGTGCTAGGTAGGTGCCCCAAGAAATGTGTATTATAAGCAAAAGGATGCACCAGTCCTCTTCCACTAGAGGTCACCAACAGGATATGGAAAGGACAAAAAGAGTTCAGCGGCATTCTCATTACTTTTTCCCCCACAGTCTCTTTAATATCCCAACAGGTTTTTGTCTACAGCCTAGGAGAAATTACCCTCATTCTCATGTTTATATTTTAAAGTTTTGTTTAAACTACTGACAAAAGATCATATGCATTCTCACTCGGTCCTTCATCTAAAAGATAATACCTCTAAATGCTTAGGTTATGACATATATACACTATTGATACTATGTAAAAAATAGATAACTAATGAGAACCTACTGTATACAAGGAACTCTACTCAATGCTCTGTGGTGACCAAAATGGGAAGAAAATCCAAAAAAGAGGGGATATATGTATACGTATAGCTGCTTCACTGTACTTTGCTGTACAGTAGAAACTAACACAACAGTGAAATAAAGCAACTATACTCCAGTAAAAATTAATTAATTTAAAAAATAAAAATAAATAAATAAATGTTTAGGGTATGTTAAGTAGTAGCTTTAACATGCTACTACCTTGCTCAAAAACTTGTAGGGGCTCCCTATTACCTACCACATTAAAGCATCTGAGAATTTAGAGTTCCTTATCAAATAGCCCCTCCCTGACTTTTCCAACTCCTCATTTATTAAACATCTGTTGAACATACAGTGATCTCTACTTTCTAGACACTAACATGAATATGATGACCTTATTTGTCAATCTTATTGACAAGAATTTATGGGCATAATGGAATCAAATATCTGAACTGAGACCATCCCAGAATATTTGTGGCATGTTTGCCATAATTAAAAGATATCACACACACCAAAAAAAAAGTTGAAAACACAGTCTCTATCTTGCAAGAGTAGTTATGTGTGGTACAGGCTACTGCCCAGCAACCTTTGACCCTGTTCAGAATCCAGGCTGCCCCCAGGCCTACCTTGTTCACGCCCACCTTGCTTTTCTTTTGCTATTCCTTTGACCTTGAAAATCTTATCTTGTGCATCATCACTCTATTCTGTGCCCCCAACTCGAGGAAATACGGTAACCATCTTCAAAATATTTGTGCTTACTAACCTCTCCATACTCTGAACAATTCTTGTAACATAACAAAAAGCTGTCTTTTCTGAGTATGAGAAGAACTTTGCATGTAATTTTTCAAAAATTAAGGAATTGGATAAATTTTTATCCAATTTGTAATACTTTAGTATCAAGAATAAGTTAAACGATAATTATGTGTTTTCCTTAACGCAAGCACCTCCCTTCATAAGGTAATCTGTCTCTCTACTCCTTGGAACTTCCATTACATTTCATTCCTCTACTGAGCACAAGTCGTTTTCTGTTTTGCATTATGGTTCTCTGTCAATACCTGCTTCTTCTGTGAGATTACAGCTCCTTGAGGGAAAGATCTGTGTCTTACTCTAATGTGCACCCCTTCTAGTTCTCAGCACAACACACTTTTTTCTTAAATGAAGGAAGGTATTAACCAACAGAGATTTCTATGGTGATATTATTACAGTCTCATCTTCCATATAAGCCTGTCGAACAGCCTAGAAATAAAACACTTTAAACAGTTCAGAGAACCGTATCTGTGAAATTGTTGGTACAATGTAATTCTAAAGTAGGTTTGGGGCCCCCCGACTATACAGAAAGCTGTCTTCTCTTCTGTGTTACTTTCCCAAGCCAAAAAAAAAAAAAAAGATAGTGGTTCCTGAGAAATAAGTGCTAATTTTAGCATTCCGTATATTAATGATTAGCAAGCAGCCAGTTCTTTCTCAGTAGCAGTACAGTAACATGGTTAGGAACTTGGGGTCTGCTGTCAGACTACCTGGATTTCAATTTTACCTCCACCACGTATTAGCTATGGGACCTTAGGCAAGTTGTCTAATATCTTTGTGCCTCATTTTCATCACTAGTAAAAGGCAGAAACTTAACAGTACAGTCCCTCTAAGGGATGGTGTGAAAAATTAATGATTTAATATATTGAATATTTAAAGTGTTTAGAATAGTATACCTGGCACTTTGTTTAAAAGTGATTGCAATACGTAGCACTACATTTACCTTACATTCCCTATTGGTAAGTTTCATGATGTTAAGAACAAAATGAGTGTTTTTTTCTTTTTATCTCCTACAGCACTTAGCAGAGTGAAACAAATACTAGACGTTCAAAAAATTACGACGTGAATTGTATTTGAGACACAGAGATCGAATGCACAAGAAAATGAATGTAGGTTAAAATGTAAACACAATTAATTTAAATAAAAAGAGTTCTTGGCATATCATTTGCATACCTTCAGTTATTGCTTTTTAATAAGTTGCTAGGTGCTTTATGACTTTATCTTTTTCTTGCCCTCTCAGAGCATGTAGTTTGGTGTAATACAGGTTATAACTCTCAGAACTGCTGGCCTCCTGACAAGCTATTTAGTCTGAGTGATGAGGTTACTGCAGCAAAAACTGGGTTAAAGTACATTACTTTTCTGCTGGAGATGAAAGGCCAATAATCCCAGAAAACAGCGCACAGAAAGAGTTGGGCCAGCCAAGCACTTTGTGAAGGCTCATTTAGACCCTCCGCCGTGGGGTACTATGAAGGTGAGTGTCCTGATGCCAGGGTCGCGGGCCCGGAGGCCTGAGTGGGCAGCTGGCCTCGATAGGAGAGACAGAGCCCGGCCGAGGCCGCTGGATGAATCATTCTCACCTCTCTAGGCAGGTGCGGGCGGCAGGATGGTTCCGCTTCACCACGGTGCGGGCGGGACTGGGAGCGGCGTCATTCCCCGCGGAGGCCTCCCCCGGACCGCCTCCTCCGGGCGGGCACTGACCTTGCCGCAGGCGTCCGGACTGCCGCAGTCCCAGCGCCGCAGAGCCCGGAGCTGGTGGGGGGCGCCCACTGGCACCCGGACCCACAAGCTCGTCGGGGCGGGCCGCAGAGCCCATGTGGAGCCGCCGCCCTCCCGCCCTCCCTCGGCGCTTCATTCCCGCGTGCGGTCGCCGGCTGAGGCGCGGAGGCCGCGCGTCTAGGCGCCGGGGGGCGGGGCGGGGCGCGCGCCCCCCGGGCCGCGGAGGTCGTGTCGCGCGGGCGCACGCGCCGCAGCCGCGCGGGGCGGGGAGGGTGGGTATGCTCTGGGCGCGCGCGCCGCCGTCGCTTCAGCCTGGTGTTCCGCTCGCGCAGCCTGCTCCCGGCGCTCGGCCGCAGCACGCCGACTCCGGAGCAGCCATGGGCTGCGCGGGGCCCGCGGTGTAGAGTCCGCCAGCCCCGGACCCGCATCCCTCACACTGACAGTCCCGGTAAGCGGGGGCGGGGGCGGCGGGGACCAGGCAGGCACCGTGAGGGGCGGGTCTGCGGGCAGCGGACAGCCCTCCGTGGACTCAGAGGTGCTGTGTGGGAGCCGTCCCGAGGGTCTCCCTGTGTAAGTGGATGAACCCCGAGTATCCCTGCCTCTACCCGTTGGGAGAGTCCCGGAGGCGGTGTGCGGAGCCGCCCCCATGGAAGACCCCTGTGCGAGTGGAGATTCCCAGGGCTCTCTCGGCATTTGCTGCCACGGGGAGGCCCAGTGTCGAGGACGCCATCCCCAGAGAGACTGTGTACCTACGGGAGGGCAAGGGTGGTCTCTGGTGTTGTCTCAGTAGAAGACCATTCGGGAACATAGGGGAGCCTTAGGGAGCCTGCACCGTGGGGACGGACCCCACAGAGGACCCGTGTATATAGGAGGACCCGAGACTGTGCCCTAGAACTGCCTGGAAGAAACCTCTGACTGGAAGGAGAGGATCCTGCCATGGGATCCAGGCCAGGAGTAACTTCCCGTATGCTCAAAGGTCTTTGGCTTTGACCTCCTTCAGGGCTCATTGTTTCCTAACTTGTATCTCTCCAGCGTGGTTGAGAGGCAGGGGTCCTGTGGGGCTGCGCCTTTGTCCGTTCGTCCTCCACCCCATTAGAGTTTGTATTCTCCGTGGTAGCCCAGTTGGCTCCGAGCTCAAGGCAGGAACTTCTCTCAGAGCACAGGGTGCAAGAGAGGGGAGGACCAGTGAGGCCTCTGAAGCAAAGAAAGGAGATTTGAGCCCCTGGGCTTGACCCTCAGGAAGAAAGCAGTAAAATCAGGTAGAATAACTGACTCAGCCAGGTCCTGTAAAGAAAATCCTTTGACGGAAGGAAAAAAGGATATGTAGGATTATTGAGCACCAGTGTGCCAAATACTAAACCAGGGATGTTTAACATCTCATAGAATCCTTACAACAGCCTTATGAAATTATCCCCTTTTAAACATTTGGCACTTTAGACTCAGGTTTAGCAATTTGCCCAAGGTCACAAAGCATGGAATCATGAAATCTGTTTTCCTAAGTTTATTTGGGTATCAAGGAGAGGCAGAAGCAAGAATGTTTATTTGTTAATAAATTGCATTAAGATACCAAGCACCGGGCTTTGCAATAGTATACGCTCAGTAAATGTGATGATTAATTAAGTAGATGAAGACAGTTTAATTGGGGATGAGTGTGCTGTAGGAACTGATTTCCACTGAATCCCCAAATTTCAGGGTGTGGCTTCCTTCACTGGCAACCCTACTGTAATTATGCCTCTGAGTGGCTCTGCACTTAATTGGGTCTGGGAGAGGCCTCTGGGTGTAGTCTTTGACAGGACTTGCTCTGGGGATCTAGTGGAACCCTTCGGAGGATGGAGTATTCTGAGACTACCCTCCCTGCTTGCAGAATCCTTGAGGGAGAGGACAGAGAGACAGGATCACTTTTAGGAAGCATGACCTACAGTGTCTTTGTGGCCGTCTGACTCCATGCACTAGCAGACATTGGTCCACAGATACCACTCAGGATACTTGCCCAACAGTGCCTCTACATGATGAGGAGGAGGGCAGGAAAGGCTCAGAGCCAAGAAAGGTTTATTGGGAGTCCATCGTCTGGGGAATGCAAAGGGTCTGTGCCTGACATAGCGATGCACCCTCATCTCACCCCCTGGGCTGTAGTAGCTTTCATTCCATCTGAATCCCAAGGGTGTGAATTTGGAGCCAAGGATAGACTCTGGTTTCTTGTCCAAAAATGGAGTGGTGAGGGAGCTAAGCAGTGGAATTCACCAGAGTATTCTGGAAGAGTTTTCCTGTTCCCCTTCCTTTCTCCTTCCACATAGCCAAACCTAGTGACATCCTCCTTTAACAGAGGTGGGTTCCCTGGGCTCCTGGGGTTACATAGTGAGAAGGGAGATCAGGCTTGTGAGAAGACAGAACAACCTGGGTGTGGCATCTCATGCACAGCTCAGTGGAACAAACTCTGACAAAGGCTGATATTGGTTAAGCACCTGCCCATTAGAGAATTGTTTATAATCCCCTTTCAGTTCAAACACCTTTCATCAGTTTAACACACCAAAATAAACTGGGATATATATCTTTTTAAAGAAAATCAGAGCAAGCCTGCAAATATGATCTTTGCTCCGATTCAGAGATTTGTCACTGGGTTTTATTCCTAAACTCGTCTTTTTTACTGAGGGCTCTTGGTATCACACCCACTCATGACCCTGGAAAACTTGCTAGATGGCTCCAGGTGCTCCCCAAATATTGGACCTTGGATATCACTTCTTTGATGTCCAGCATTGGGTAAACATTAAGATTACAAAATCCTAAGAATACTGACTGTCTCCTCTAATCACAACGTGAGTCTGCAAATCAAATCATTCCACAGTGGGTATGAAGGATGTCACCAGGTGGCCTTAATCTTCTTTTTTAAAAAAAGCTCTCTCTAAAGAGAAATAAAAGAGGAGAGCATGGCTCACACAATTTCACTTGAGTGTACCCAAATGAGTCTGGATTTTTTAGCCTTTAATCTTCCTCATCATCTCTGACCACATTCTTATGGTTTTCTTCCTCCTACATTTGCCATCTTTAGACAATGCTTCCTCTTCCTCAAACACATAAATAGTAGGACCTTCCCCTGCCCGTTTCTCATACTCCTTGTATTTTTTCCAGTACACCTGTTCCTAAGTGGATCATATTTATGCAAAAAGTTTCCTTTCTTTTTAGCTACAGAATCTATTATCTTCCAGTCCCACATGCTTTTCTCCAGCAGTGCTCTTGGTTTCTGCTATCTTCATTTCCCAAATTGCTTTATTCATTTCTAATGGGAATATCATTATCTACTCCAACCCCTCAATCTTAATGACCAAGTTCTGACAGAAATGCTTACCAGCTTTTGACCAAGAAACCAAGACCATCAGTGCCCAGCTGGAGACATGACTATTTTTTCTATTATAACATCCCCCTTCATCCTTCCTCCCCTTCCAGCGGGAGAAGGGGTCCTTCCTCCCCTTCCAGCGGGGTCCAGAGACCCATATACATTTACTAAGTGCTACCCACTTGCCAGGGCACTATGCTAGATAAATATGAGAGTTCCTTGTCCTTGAGGTGTTCACATAGGATCAGTCTGCATTTCTCTAATCATTTACTATAAAAAGTAAGAAGAAAAAAGAGAAGTACAGCTTTACAGAGTATCTATAGGAATCATCATACAGTATGCCTTTTCCCAGGCATCACTGAAGCACCACTGCTGTCCTGTGCCTCCTCTGGCAGCCACGTCCTTAGCCCCCGTGCCATTGCCCTGCCAGAATTACTTCCGCCCATATACTTTGAGTGAACTGGCCACTCTTGGCTCTCTATGATAATAATGACAGTACCTTATATTTGGATAATATGTGACAATTTACAAGCCCTCTTACATGATCTCATTTGGTTTTCAGAAATGTTTCACCTTAACTGTGGTCTTCTTACTAAAACAACAGCCTGTTGGTTGGCTGGCTGGTTTTCTCTCCTTTTTTTTGTTTTGTTTCATTTTGTTTTGTTTTGTTTTGTTTTTTGAGCCTCCTAATCAGGGTTACGGGTCTCCAGAGGGAAAGCCCCAATGATTTACTACAGCCTCTACCTACCAGCCCTTAGGCTATGAAGAGGAGTTTCCTGTTGGGTCCAAAGGCCAAGCAATGCACTCACTGGTCAACCCTAGGACTTATCAGGGCTGTCCTGCTACCTGGCCTTAGAAAATCCAATTCTCTGTGTTTTCTTTCCTCCCTGAAATCTAAATACATATTCCCTTCTAGACAAATAGTTTAAGCATACTACCTCAAACCAGTTCTTTGGGCTAATTCTTATGTGAAGGCAGGTTTCTTTGCCTATTTCTATCTAACACCCGGCTGGCTTCATACCATCTAAGCCATGATGGAGTCTCCATATAGTTCCATGCCTTGGCATGTGCTTTTATCTCTTCCTGGAATGCCTTTTTTTTCCTTATCCACTGGGGTAACTCCCACTCAGATTTCAAAATTTAGCTCAAGCAACACTTTTTTTTTTTAATCCTACACTTATGCCCCCTACACACGCACATACTCACACTGCTTTCTCACAGGCTGAGTGAGGTTCCATTTGTTCAATCTACCAACAGTTACTAAGTGCCTAATTTGTGCCCAACACATAGTAGGCTGCACTCAGCAAATATTTGTAGAATCAACAAATAAGTCATGATAATTAAGGTGTAATGAGTGCATTAAATGGGGCTGAATCTGTGCTTCAGGGCCCCAGAGCAGAGAACAGGGAGTGTCCCTCCATCTTGCTGAAAAGCTCTGCTTGCTAAGTGCAATCACACCAGCCAGTCACTGATGGTGTGCTATTCCTTAACTGTTGCTCTGCTTCTGTGGGAAGCCTGCACTGTAGCTTCTCATGAAGACCCATCCCAGGCCCCTAGAGGCTAAAGATCATGCCATAATTTTGTCCTCATGTTTATTAGAGCTTTTGGACTTCCAGTAAATATTAAACAACAACAGCACCTCCCTCACGCCTCATTCTCTTGAGCTGAGTCCAAGAAGACATTTTTACTCAGTCTTCAGCCCTCCTGCTCCTTGGAATTCTCAGAAGAGTCCTGTGCAGTCAGGGGTGACTGTGTCTTCCTGGGCTGACTGAAGCCAGTGCC